GGCGAACGGGGCGGGGGCTCGGACCCCGGGCTCCAGCCGGCACCGGAAACGCGCCGTGGTCCGCGAGACCTACAGGAAGTGTGTAACGACACCTCCTACGAAGCGCTCCGAGCTCGCGGTCGTCGCTGCCCGGAGGGGGTGTGGACCGACCCTCCAACCACACACCGGCGCGCACGGGTTCGGGTCTCTGCACCCAGACAGGTGTGAAACCCACTATCCCCGCTACGCTCTGAAGTGGGCAGCTCTCCGTCCTGCCGCGGTCCCCACTGCTCCTTGGAGCTCCATACAGCTCCACCTAAACCCAAGGAGCAGACCTTGCAAGAACCTGCTTCGTTCGCCTGGTGTGTAACACCTGTTTTAACGCACCGAGTAGAGTCACCTCCACACCCAGGCACGTCCAGGAACACCTCCTGCTGACACATCTAACCCACAGTCACCACAGCCCAGTAGAAGTTACCAATCCAACTACCACACTAGCTTCCACCCCATAGAGAGAGAGGGGCAACTTAACACCTAAAACACACTAGAACCAGGGAGGCGTACAATAGTATCACCTAGACAGCTTGGTACAACAGAGGTAGGGCTGGCACCTTCCACCTTTATTTTATCTAGCACACACTTTTATAGCACTTAATATGTGTCCGGGGTTAACACTAAATGCTTAGAGAATATTAATTTGTTTAATCCGAAGAACTCTATGCAGTGAGTGTTGTTAGCATTACCAGTTTATGGATGAAGAAACTGAGGCACAGAGAAATTAAGACATCTGCCCAGGATTAGATGGTAGCTGGAGGAACCCAGATTCATCCCAGATAGTTTGGCACCATGCTCTTAACTCCCTGTCTACTTCTAGCATTAAGTATCTCCAAAAAATAATAGTGGTAATAAATAACATTTAAAGCATATCTTATTAGCTATGTGGTGCTCACATCCTTGCCTCACCCCACTGTGACAAAGGACACCTTAGTCCCTTTTACACTTGGGGTATGTGAGGGGAGAGAAGAATATGAGGCAGAGAAAGAGACTAACTTCTAAACAAAGAAGAATTCTTAACACCTTGCTCTATCAACATCAGGACTCCTCCTGGCATAGGCTAATTAAAAAAAATCCATGTGAACATTTTTGACAAAATAATGTCTGTCCAAAAAACAAACAACAGTTACTTGCCACATATTTCAAATATGTTATCCTGTGGAGAAATTGGAACCCTGTGCACTACTGATGGAAATGTAAATGGTGTAATCACTATAGAAAACAGTATGGAGACTCCGCAAAAAGAATAAAATTATGAGCCAGAAATCCCACCTCTGGGTATATGTCTAGCAATTAAAGCAGAAACTTGAAGATTTATTTGCACACCCGTGGTCACTGCAGCATATTCACAATGGCCAAGAGGTGGAAGTTGCCCAAATGTCCACAGTTGGATGAGAAAATAAACAAAATGTGGCAGATACATACAATAGAATCTTATTCAGACTTAAGTCTTAAATTTTAAGAAAGAAATCCTGTCAAATGCTACAACAGGAATGAACCTTGAAAATATGCTAGGAAAATGTGAAATACTTCACATTCTTGTGAAGTAAACTAGTCACAAAAGGACTATTGGGATACTGCATGATTCCACTTACGTGAAATACCTAGAGTTGCCAAAATCATGGAAACAAAGTACAGTATTATGGCTGGTGCCAGGCACTGGGGGAGAGGAACATGGGGAGTTGTTCCACGAGAATAGAGTTCCAGTTTAGCAGAATGAAAAAGTTCTAGAGATCTGTGACAACAACGTGAATATAGTTAACACTACTGAACTGCAAACGTAAAGGTGGTTAACAGGATAAATTTTATATTACATGTTTTTGTTTGGGTTTTATTACAAATAACTTTTTAAAAATGCAATCCCTGGGGTGCCTGGGTGGCTCGGTTGGTTAAGCATCTGACTCTTGATTTTGGCTCAGGTCATAATCTCACAGTTTGTGAGTTCGAGCCCCGCATCTGTGCTGATAGCACAGAGCCTGCTTGGGATTCTCTCTCTCCCTTGCTCTCCCTGCTTCTCCCCCACTTGAGCTCTGTCTCTCTCAAAATAAATAAATAAACAAAAAGAATGCAGTCCCATTTAAAGGATATTTCCATCATGATGAATTTCTTCAATGATGCAGGCTTTCAGCTATGGTGAGATACTTTGTTAAACAAACTACTTCTCCCACTAAGGACTGTAAAATCTGTATTTAAAACATTAAAACAACAACAAAAACTGTTTAAAGCTATTGTAGAGCAACCTAGGCAACCAAGGCTTGAGAATCCCAGAGCTCAGCAAGAAGGGAAACACATTGAAGTGAATCCTATATTCTCAATCACTTTTCCTTCTTAGGGCATTGTTGATTTGTGCCTAGGAGTATAGAAACCAGTGAGGAGCATCCTAGAATTTTCAACAGTCTGATTGGGCTATGGATACAAAATTTGGAGCTCAAGTCTATCAAGGCAGCTAGGACTTAAGAGGCCAAGATCCCAGAGAAAAGGCAATCATGGCAAAAGGAGTCAATCACTCTATATGTCATTTGCTTTGTACACACAACAGGCATTTGCTTTGTGCACGCAACAGGCAAGAAGCCATGAAATTGCTGAGTACCCCCCCGCCAAAAAAAAATCTTGGCAACAACACTTGGCTGTCGTATAGTGTTAGAGAGAATTAAACAGGAAGGAAGGGTCCCAGTGAAACCTCAAACTTGCAGTTGAGACCCTTGAGGAACTATACCCTAAGAGTAAAATCATATCAGAAATAGCACTAACAATGCCTGAAACAGCCTGAACTATTTAAATGACTAGGTGGGTCAAGATGATCTTTCCATGTTCTATGTGCCTGCAAGAAAAAAATCTTCTTTGAAGAATCTTAATATTTCATATACAGTATCTAACATTCTGTCAACAATCACCAAACACACCAAGAAAAAACTAACTGCACAAAAGCCAAGAAGAAAAAAAGACTTTAGAAACAGGGGTGCTTTCATGGCTCAATCAGTTGAGCATCCAACTCTTCCTAGGATGTGGGGATCGAGTCCCACATTAGGCTCCACACTGAGCATGGAGCCTGCATGGGATATTCTCTCTCTCTCTCTCTCTCTCTCTCTCTCTCTCTCTCTCTCTCCCTCTGCCCCTCTACCCCACTTGTGCTCTCTCTCTTAAAAAAAAAAAAAAAGGACTTTAGAATTAGATGTACACATGATCCAGATACTGTAGTTTTATATGCAACTTTTAGAACAATTATGGTTAATATGTTCAAGAACATCAATAACAAAATGGTGAATTTCACTAGAGAGCTAGAACCTTTAAAAAAGAATGAAATAGAGCCATCAGGGAGACACAAATCAGAACCACAATGATATCACTACACACCAAGATGGTTATAATGAAAAAGACAATAACAAATGTCGGTAAGGATGTGGAAAACTGAAACCCTCATACACTGCTAGTGATATTGTTAAAATGGAGCAGATGCTTTGGATAACAGACTGGCATTTCTTCAAAAGGTAAAACAAAGCTACTGTATGACTCAGCAATTCTTCTCCTAGGTATATACCCCAGAGAAATGAAAACATGCACACAAAACTTGTACATGAATGTTCATAGCAATATTATTCATAATGACCAAAAAGCAGAAACAACCCAAATGTTCATCAACTGCTGAGTGGATAAGTAAAAAATGGTGCGTTCATACAATGGAGTATTATTCAGCCAATAAAAGGAATGAAGTACTGTACATGCTACAATTTGGATCAACCTTGAAAACATGCTGTGTGAAGAAAGCCAGTTACAAGAGACCATATATTCTATGGTTCTATTTATATGAAATGTCCAGATAGGCAAGTCTAGAGACAAAAAAGTAGATTAGTGGTTGTCTAGGCCTGAGAGGCTTTGGGGGGAAAATGGGGTAACTGCTAAAAAATAAAGGGTTTCTTTCTGGGGTGATTAAAAATTTTCTAAACTTGATGCTGATGATGGTTTCACAACTCTGAATATATGAAAACCACAAGATTATACACTTTATATGGGTGAATTATATGGTATGTGAATTATACCTCAATAAAGCTGTTAGAAGAAGTACTGCGTGCCTGGATGGCTCAGTTGGTTGAGTGTCCGACTTCGGCTCAGGTCATGATCTCTCATGGTTCATGAGTTCAAGCCCCGCATCAGGCTCGCTGCTGTCAACATAGAGCCCACTTTGGATCCTCTGTCTCCCTCTCTTTCTGTCCTTTCCCTGCTCATGGTCTCTCTCTAAAATAAGTAAACATTAAAAAAAAAAAAAAAAAGGTGGAGCGCCTGGGTGGTTCAGTTGGTTGAGCATCTGGCTTTGGCTCAGGTCATGATCTCACAATTCGTGGGTTTGAGCCCCACCATCGGGCTTGCTCCTGTCAGCACAGAGCCTGCTTTGGATACTCTGTCCCCCCTTTGACTCTCCCCCACTCGCTTGCTCACTCTGTCTCTCAAAAATAAATAAACGTTAAAAAAAAAAAAAAGAAGATAGTACCAAAAAAATTTTTCCAGAACCAAAAACTGTACTAACTAAAATCCTAAATCCAATAGATAGGTTTAACAGC